CATGTTTCTTACTTAGCCACCATTAACACCGTGCATCGAAACTCCAGTCCCACTGCTGTGTGGATATCTAGTCTGTTGCTGCCGAATGTCTCAGATGACCATGGTGGGCTATCTCAATTTCCCAGGGATGAGCCCCAGATTGTCTCCAAGTCTCCACCACCAGAAAACATAACACAATGAATTTCCTTTTGATATCCCTTTGCAATGACTCTTTGGAATCCCTTTGGAATTCCCGTGGGGCACACACACACACACACACACACACACGCACACGCACACACACACACACACGGTCATTACGACTGGGTCTTGGGCTGTATGTCCCGTAAAACCTTGGTTTGTGAGCAGAATGATTTCTGGAAACATGCTTGTAATCCGAAGCACTTGTCCATCAAAGCGAATTTCAAGCACCATTGGCTCAGTCGTGATCGTGTGACATTCGACCCCACGTCCTCTCATATTGCAAGACACGGATGGTTTATCAAGTTAAAATTGACTAGAAGCCTTTGCCCATTTTGTGGAACACTCGCCAAACAAGTTATTCACAATCCAAGGTTTCACTGTATATGCAAGTTGACCAGGTGCCGCCATATTGCTTTCAGAATGGTTTCATGGCACCGAAAAATATTGCTAAGATGCATTGAGCACTTGCGTCGGACCTCACACTGTTCTAAGCTTTATGTTGGGTGTGGGAAGGGTTTAATTCTTGCAATAGTCTCTTTAGGTAACCACTATTATTATCTCCATTTCTCAAATGAGGAATGGCAGCTCAGAGAGGTCAAGAGACTTGCCCAGCCTCATTCAGCCATAACAGCAATGTTCTACGGCTCAAGACAGCCTACCGGCCATCCCTTCCTCTGCTTTCCCCCCTCAGCCCTGAGAGACTGTGCACGGCCAATGCCAGTCCAGCTAGCTCCCCAGCCTGGCCACGTGGGCTTGGGATCCCTGAGCAGCGTTTGTGTTCGTTCTGAGGCTTAATTAAAACGCAAGCCACACTCAGAGTAGAACGAGTAACTCAGTGCTTCCTGAATCCAACCAAGGCATTTTTCCTGCCCAAACAGGGCAACAGGCTGGTGCCGGACTGATCAGAAAGTTGTTCAGAGGTCCCCAAGATGAGTGCATGCCACCTTGAGCCCAACTTATAATGCTAAGACGCCAGACCACGGGAAGAGATTGCCGACCAAATAACAAGGGCCGGGACACTGCCCATGTGGACCACTTGTTGCACCCTGTGCCGGTCAGTAGTGTTTCATGAGGCTGTGGAATCAACACGCAGCAGGCCGAGCCAGCCAATTAGGCTTATCGGCTGACCGAGTGGGGCAGGAAGTCCTCTTTTCCTCCTGGTTGTTTTCCTGCCCCATGGAAGAAGTCGGTTCCCATTTTTTATCTCTGGGTTCCCACCAAGCCATCTCCATGGGGAGAGAGTTCTGACAGAAAGCAGTGTTAAGCTATCTCACTCCCCAAGAGCCCAGGGTCAAGCCAGACTGCCCTTAAGATTGCATGCAATCAGATGCAAAAAAAAAAAAAAAAAAAAATTGAATGCAAAATCCAAGAGCTTCTTGGCAAAGAGAAAAAACCAGCCAGGCCCGGCCTGGGCCATACCCTCTTTCGTCTCTGTGCCCCTCATCCTCCCTACGGACTTGAGAAATTTCCCACTGGGCTCCTTGAGTGTCGCTCTCCCAGGGGCAGAAAGTGGCCGGGGTGGGGAGAACTAGCCCCAAGTTGGGGGAGTTCGAGATATCAGTTTCAGAGCCCCCGTAGGCAGCCCTTCGACACTGAACTGAGACTGATTATACACTGCAAAATAGTGTACTTATCGACTTCATCTGCCTTTGCCCCTACTTTCTCCTTCCAAGGAGATAAATTACTGGGGCAGATAAGGATCCAGCTTTCAGGGCGATCAAATGAGCGCCAGGAGTCCTCAAGATAGGAACGGTTTGTGAAACCCAGCTCCTGCCCACTCGACTGAGCCAACTAAGAGGGTGCTTCCTGCCAAGAATGTAATGGCCACATGGATTGTTGGCCTTTCCACCCCTGTGCCCCCCCCCCCACCCCCCGGTACATTACGAGGGTAAGGGAATTTGCTTTTAAAGTATCTTTTGCAGTCTCTTCTAATAAATCACTCAGCAATTGCTGGTGCTTGTTGTGGTCGGTGGTGTTGATCCATGGGGAAAGGACAGGCTGCTTCCAGAGCTGGATTTTCCACCAGCATAGTGGGTAAACCACGAATGCAGCAAAACAAGATGGCGGCCTCCAAGCCAATGAGCGTGGGTTGCAGCCTCAAGGGTGGCAGGGCTCTCTCTGACCTTAGCCAGGATTTCCTGATAGACTTCTGGAGTGGCCGCATGGATTCCCCTGCTCGTAAGATTCAAAGCCAGTCTTCTGGAGCTGAACACTCCAGTTAGCAAATCACATTTCGTGGTGTGTAACCTCAAGGCCCCAAATGCAAGATTTGTAGAGACAGAAATCAGAGTTCTAAGAAAACTTGCCCCATCCTTGGGGATGCTGAACAGGGTTTTTTGGTCTCTGCATGGTTACTGCCAGCCTGTGTTTAGGGTAGACCCATATAAAATGTCTCAAGCGTTGGACTATCTAAGACTTTCCCTTTGAAGCACTACTCTAAGTGGAACACTAGGTCCTATTCAGTCGGGGCTGTTCCAGTGGTGTTTGTCCTAAATGTCCTTCTTTTTTTTTTTTTTTTTATTTCAGTCACCTAGTGACTCTTAATTCCACCTTGTCCCAGGGTGTAAATATCCCCCCTTTTTCCTTGCCGTGTGTCCCTGTACAGATTAGTGGGCAATTATCAAACCGTGCCCCCCTCTCCACACCCCACCCCACCCCAATCATCACTTAGCCAAACTACATACATATATATTTAGCTCTTTTAATCTTTTTTTCTCATAAGGTTCTAATTTTACATTTTTTCCAGGGTTATTTTGGATTTGGCAGAATAGCCTTCGTCTGTGAAGAGTAGAACTTAATTATCAAAAGCTGAACCGGAGTGAGCAATCCATCACTGGGTGACACATCCTTGCCTGTGTTCATTTGAAAAACATTTTTTTGTGGCTCTTGGAAGAGGAGGGGGGGAAGCTGTCAGAAAAGAAAGAGAAAGAAAGAAAGAAAGAAAGAAAGAAAGAAAGAGAAAGAAAGAAAGAAAGAAAGAAAGGGAAAGAAAGAAAGAAAGAAAGAAAGAAAGAAAGAAAGAAAGAAAAGAAAGAAAGAAAGGAAACTGAAGGGAAAAAATTCATTCTGGCATGCATCGTCCCACAACACAACCACATAACATATCAGAATATCACAATTTGCGGGATTAAGAATCGGGACTGTTCATTTGGCTCCTTTCTCGCCTTTCGTGTTTTGATTTTGTTTGGAACTGGATCTAAAAACGTCCCCTAGCACATGGAAGTTAGTCATGTAAAGTGCCTCCTACAGCAAACACCATCTTTTTGACAAGGTTTGCATTATAATTAAGGCCTGTCTGAGTAGTTCTCCCAACTGTCATGTTCCAGTGTTTTCCTTAAGAGGCAGGGTTTTTTAACAGCCAGATAAATGCCCTCTGTGGCCCAGATCAGTGGCACAGTGACACCCAGTGGCCACGTCAGGTCATGGGCCCATGGTGGGGCCGCCCCGGGCTTGACTCCAGGAAGGCCAGCCCCACGGGGTCCCCAGGGGTGAATCTGGCATTATCTCGCCGACAAGATTTACCACCAGGGAGCCAGTCTTGAAGTCGGGGAGCTCCCCCGGTGTTGATTTAAATGAGATACAGCAAGCCCTCTATTGCTTGAGCAAGCAATGAGCTTGAGATACAGCAAGCCCTACATTGCTTGCAATGAGATACATTGCCCTAGCAGAGGGCCTGGTAGCCGCTGGCTCTTGCCGGCGGTGGGGCAGTTCCAAATTCCACGTCAGAAACTTCTCTCATCCTTGTTTACGCCTCACCCAGACCCGTGACAAATCCAGGAGCTCGCCGGGGGTCTCCAGAGATCTTTAGACAGTGGATTCAAATGTTGCCTCTTGGAAGGGAAAGATGCTTTGTTTTGTCGGTCGCTTTGTGTTCTAGCCACTCATTTAAATAATCGACCGAGAAAGCAGACGTTTTCGTGGCACATAAAACCTGTAGAGCCTCACCGCATCATTGGTTGGCCTGGCGCCACTTTTCGTCCCTGACTCAGGCTCACAGGCAACAGGGCGACGTGGCGCGTTTCCTCCTGCAGGGGGCGCTGTGAATGTTCCTCTCAGTCATTGCCGCTCCGGCTACTATTTTCTGGAACCGGATATTTGTCATCTCCCTCCTCTGAGTTATTCCAGGTTCCTTCGAAACACACTCATTTAAGTCACTTTGTCCAAATGAGGGTGGGTTTTTTGTTTTTCTTCCTTTTTTTCGTTTGTGATACTGACTGAGCGTAACCAAAGACATCTCCCTCTGGCCCGCGAAGCCCTGCTGTTTCCTGCCAGTGGCTGTTTCCACTCTGAGCTGATCGAGTCCCAGGGTCTTGCCCCAAATGCCAGATGCGGAAATGGGCGGGGGCGGGGGGGGGGGGGGGGCGGTGTAGCTCATTTCTAGTGGGTCCAGTTCAGGTCCACGCTAACCCCCAAAGACTGACACTTGTGGTTAAACAAACACTCAGAGAAGATGCACGTTGCCGTTAACGATGTAAAAACAGCAGATAAAGAAATGACCTTCTTGGGAGCGGAGATCAGAATTATTCCGTGTCTGAGAGGCTGAGTATCTTTCACACAGAACGCATTAACTGGTTATTAAGGGGTACCTGTCAAACCCTAGAGCATAAGGGCTAATGAAAGTAACAAATGATAATGATCAAAATGACTCGCGTGTTATTGAGCATTTACTTCCTGCCAGTTCCTACGAAAACATTTTACTTTTAGGGGCGCCTGGGTGGCTCAGTCTCAGCCCGGCACCTGACTCTTAATTTTGGCTCCGGTCACGATCTCATGGTTCGTGACATCGAGCTCTGTGCTGGGCTCTGTGCTGACAGCAGAGAGCCTGCTTGGGATTCTCTCTCGCTCTCTCTCTTCCGCTTAGAATAGATAAATAAATGATAAAAAAAAAATTTTACATTCATTAACTCATTCGATTGTTTTTTTTTTTTAATTTTAATGTTTATTTACCTTCACCATGACAGCAAACACCTAAAACTCTCTCTTCTGTGCTCTCGGAGGGTGGTATCCCCAGATCCTCAGGCAGGCTGCGGGCGTGCTCTTGTTTCTCTCTCTGGGTCCCCTTGTCACCACAAACGAAAAGGACAAATAACTCAGAACAGCACCGTGTTTGTTACACGGGCCTCGGGGCCACCTGCGCAGGGTGTTCAGTTTCACGCTGAAGCTGGCGGGAGGGTCTACTCGGGGTCAATCCAAGAGGGGCTTGGAGTTGGTGGCCCCGGTGGTACGGGTATCCTCGCTGCCCTCCTCAGCCCGTGACCGGCCTCCGCGATGTGTCTGCTCCCCGGGCCCACCTCTTCTAATCCCACAGGCCACGGAGCGCTTCTCTTGCTGGCGTCCCTTTCTCCCAGCCTCCCCGCTCTTTCTCCGCCCATGACGACTTTCAGCTACGTTACGGATTGCTGCTCACCGAGTCTTTCCGAAGCACATCTCATTTCACGCTATCTCCCAAAGCCTTCCGTGGCTCCCCACCGCTCGCAGAACGAAGTCCGAGCTCCTAGACCCAACCCTAACTTTTCACTGCCTTCCAATCTCCTCCAGGCATCTTCTGCTCAAGGCAAACCAAACACAAACTGTCCTGCCTTTGAGTCTTTGCTCGTACTCCCAACTTGGTTCGTACTCCGTACTTTGCTCCCCCCCCCACCCAAGGGCTTTTGCACTGCCCAACTCCGGGAGGCCCGTGTTCCCCAGAGGCAATGTGACCAGCACCCACTGGATTTGGCCAATGCGCAACCTGCACAGCTGTACCTGTCCGCCCAGTCATCTGGATCATACATATCACCACACTGTTTCCCTCCACGTAAAACAGGATTCTTCAGTAGCAGGATTGACATATTCGGCCAGATCATTCTGCGTTGTGGGGAGCTGTCCTGTCCATGGTATGACGCTTAGCTGCATCCCTGGCACCCTCCCTTCCCAGTTGTGGCAACTGAAAACGTTCCTGACGTTGTCGAGGGTCCCACAGAAGGCACAATCATCTCTGGCCGAGAGCCGCCGCTCTAATACCTACCCAAATGTGAAGCTTTGCCCTCTGAGTCACCTACTCCACACTGCCGAGAGAGTGCAACCCCGCTGGTAGGCATACCCCCCCAGAACCTCGCCCACTGGTCCACTCTCTACTTCAAACGATAGGCACGTCCCCTACCAAGATGTGATTGCTTTCTGGAGCGTGCCTGCCAGCTACAGATGCCTCCAGGACTCACATACAACAGAGGTTAGGCCGACATTTATCACAGAACCCAGGGCACTAGTTTGCCCCGCATCCTTCCCGGTAGGAAAGTGAGTTTCAAACATGCCTCGGGACGGCCATTGGTTCTACACGTACCAATCGCGTAGAAATACGGCCTGTCGCTGGCTCCGATGCAGGAGAAACCTAATCTTTTACCTGAGACTCTGATTTATGTGTGACCACTCTGCTCCTTGCCACAACGGGGCTTGTTTTGGCAAATGGGTCCAGATTTCGTCCATTAGCTTCAAATAAGTGAAAAACTCTAGGGTTTGGTGAAATCACACAATAAAACATCATTAAGCACTACAGCCTGTCAAGGCAGACGGCAGGTTGGAGCTGAAAGTCAGAAGACCGTCTGAAAGGAAGCAAGAAGGCACAACGGATGGGACGGGGGGCAGCTGGCTTTCATTTGGGGGAGGTCGTCGGAGGACTCTCCCGTCTGTGATGTCAATGAAGAACAGAGGCCCCGGCAATTTAACTGTCATCGGTAGAAATGCTCCGACGGGCATGGCCACGAGCCCTGGCCCTTTGCTCCATCTGGGCCGTTCTCCGTGTGCACTAGGAGACGGGGCCACGCGGCAGGGAGACGAAAGAACCAGGCCAGGCCCCCGGGAGCCAAAAAAAAGGTCTGGCCGGTGTGCCAGGCCGGGGGGGGGGGGGGCAGATGGGCAGCGGGTGTCCCAGGGACAAGATGGGGGTCACCGCCCGTCACCACCTCTGATGGCCCCCGAGCGTGCAGCTCTGAATCCAAGAGCGAGCGGACTGCGTCGTTTGCTCGGGTTCTGGGAGCTGTGGACAGCCTTTGCGGCCTCCTTTTCTCTTCGGTCTCTATCTCTGGTCATCCCTCCACCTCTCCCTCTGCTGTCCCACCCCTCCGTGTCCCTATTGCACTCTCTGCACGCGTGTCTCTCTCTCTCTGTATAGCTACGCGCGTCTCTCCCTGTCTCTCTCCATCTCTCTGTCTCACCTTCTCTGTGTCCGTCCTTGTCCGTGTCCCTCGGGGCTTCTCTCCTTCTCTTGCTCTCTCCGCGCCTCTTCTCTTTCTCCCATGTCCCTCTGACTCTATCTCTGTCTCCTCCCCGGCTCTCTGTGTCTCTTCTGTGCTTCTCGCTCAGTCCTCCTTCGTCTCACGCTCTCGTTACTTCTCTCTCCCTCCCGTCTGTCTCTTTCTCCCTCTTACCCCAAGACAACTGACCTAAAGTGGGCTCTCCCTGGAGACCCCCTCGCCGTGCGCCATGAGATGCCAGCAGCACCCGGGGGGGGGGGGGTCCGGAATCCAGCGCAAGCTTGGCGACATTTGGCCGCGGGCTGTTCTGCGCTGTGTCTCCCTCTCTCCACCTCGCTCTGTGCGTCTTCTTTCTTTATCAGCTGAGCATGCGCAGGCGGTGGCCTTAATGTCTTCCCTGCCAGAGTCCAGAGCACGGCCGTCAAGTACCCCTGTGACACTCCTGTGCCTCCCCTCCTAGCCGCGCCCCCGTCTCGCTCCTTCTGAACAAACTGCACTCTGGGTGGCTCCGACCAAGATCGGAAGCAACAGGGGACGGAACGGGGGTGCACCATCCCAGGCCTAGAGAGTAAAGAGCCCAAACCCAAGCCAGCGGTAGCCTAGCCATGGCCTTCGTGGAATAATCACCGTGGCAGCCGTTGTGAACACTTGACATCGTGCTCCGTGCTTTGCACGTGGCCTCGTGTAGCCTTCATGACCCATGATTAGCCCCATTCCCCGAATTTAAAACCCGAGGTTCAGAGAGAAGCTATGTTTCCCAAGGTCACCCAGCTAGCGTGTCACGTAGCTGGCCCACCACCCCAGGGCTGTCTGCCTCTGAGCACCAAATGGGGCCACCCTTCCTCTCATTTCAGCAGAAAGGCTCCGATCGCTTCCTTTCCCGAGCTCGCGCCGTGCGCCGATCCCCGCGCTAAGCCATTTCGTCCGCCTCATCTTGTTTCAAATTCATAGTCCCATGAGGTGTCCACAATGCCTATCACCTCCCATCGAGCAGATGGGGAGCCTAAAGACCAGAGAGGTTAATTCACCTGCCCAAGGTCACACAGCCAGTTGAGAAGCAGAGCCAGGGCGATGGGCTTCAAGGAAATTAAGAGATTCCAACTGGCATCTCTAAATTTATATTTCCGCCTCCACCGAGGTCCCCACCACTGCAAGTAATCCTGAAAATTCGTCATGAAGCTTTCAAAACAATTTATGCAAACAAACCTCAAGTGGGGCTATTTGTATTGGCAGCCCATTTCACTTAACCACCCACAACAAGGAACAGATGGCCAGAGCGTTGGACTCGCCTGCAAAGAAAACAGGAGGGGCGAGAGCATCAGAAGCCGCCTTCCTTCCCCCACGCCTGCCCGCTTTGTGACGATTACAGGCTTGTTCTTGTTTATGTCTTTGATCCCGTTGTTATTTTATGTACTTGTGAAACCGACCCGGCATTTCATGAGAGAGGTTTGTTCAAAGACCATTTGCCAACCATCTTCGGTTACCAGGAGCCGGGCTTTCAGTGCTGAATTTGGAGTCCTTTCCAGACGGAGCCTTCTGGAAAGGGGCTCAGCAGGAAGTAGAAACAGCCTGCAGATGTTGGATCAGAGACGGGCAAAAGCTTCGAGACAAACGGCTGAAGAGTTACACTTACCTGCCTTTTTTTTTTTTTTTTTTCTTGGTCACCTTTGTTTCCACTGGGCTTTTGCCACTCGAGGTGGGGACGAGTCCTGGGCTGAGGGGCAAATCCTGGATTCAAATCTGTCCCTTACCAGCTGCGTTGACATTAGACACGTTACCTAGACGCTCTGAGACTTCAGGGAACTCGTGTATGAGGCTACCAATACTTCCTTGGCAGGGTTGCTGTGGTATTTAAGTGATAGTTGGATAATGCATATATCTGAGTGATTCGTCCATTACGAAATGCTATTCCACTCCACTTGCTTTAACCCAAAACAGTCAGGTGGCTGTCTCGATCACAGGCCAGTTAATCACCCAATAAATATTGCTGAGCGTGTATTATTTTCAAGAGAGATCTGGAAAAGATTCAAGGAGAATTAAGTCAGGATCTCCATCCTGGAGGCCGGCGCCCCAGCGGGCGGGGGCGCAAGTATCCAGGATCCGTGGCAGATGGTATTTTCCAAAGATCGCTACAACACCTCCCATCCCGAATACAGCGTGTCTTTGACACTCTTCCCACAGACAGGTGGGGGTCTCCATTTTTCCCCCATGAACCTGGGCAGCTCGGGACAGAAGTTGCGGCGGTGACATGGGACATCCAGGCTAGATCATAATAGGGGTAGTACTTCTGCCTGGTAATCGTGGGTCACTGTCCTTTGGAGCCCCGAGCCGTCCAGGAAGAATCTGACGCTGCCATGATAGGAGGAAGCCCAGTCCACATGGAGAGGTCAGGTGTAGGCATTCTGGCCAACAGTCACCATCGAACGCCAGACGTGTGAGTAAAGACATCTCCAGATGATTCCTACCCCAGCCATCAAGTCACTGCCACCTTTGGTGGGGGGTGGGAGGTGGGGGCAGAGAAGAGTCCCAGATATCCTGGCACGGACACAAACCGTCGGAGTTCTACCCACCCCTAATCCCTGAGCCACACGTGCCTTAAACATAATACGAGGATCACCCCAGCGGGAATCTGGGGGCTGGTTGCTGCCCCGGGTAACCGGCACAAGAGAGCAAAGCGAGACATACACCGGGGAAAAGCTCATTTTAAATAGATCCTGATCCCTACCAGAGAGGGTGGGCAAGACAGGAGCTGAGAGCAGGGAAGAAACGTGTGGGCTGGAGGTCGGGAAATGGTTTTTGAGGCAGCAAGGCAAAAGTTAAGCCTTAATTAAGCGGGTATTATTTGGATAGGGGAGCACGAGGTGAAGGGAGTTCACTTATTAATAAAAGAACCCATAACTCAGTATGTCTCCAATGATTATAGTAATAACAATTATAGTAATAGCTAATGATGTGGGTGATAATTTTAAATACATACCAATTATTGTTTTTCGCTGGTATTTCCTGTTACCCCCTGACCCTTCCTTACCTTCTGAGCGGCTCCAACATATGGCATCCATTGCCTCCAGGAAAGGACGTGGAAGCAAAGACAGAGAAAAGGTACTTGTGAGCCCATTGCCCGGGTCCCCAAATCTCCTTCTGGGAGACATGACGCGCTGGGGCCATATTTGTTCACATTGGCTCAGAAAGCCAAACTGTCTTTCCGAGATTAGATCCATAGACCCTGGGGGTGGAGGAGCATCTGAAGAAATCAATGAACTTGACAGCCACCCCCACCCCCCGTCAGCCCACCCTAAAGCAGGTAGATTTAAGGAATTCCAAAGCTGAAATAGCAGTGTCCCTGTTCCCACAGCAAGAGCGAGCCTCCGGCACGGAGGGAGAGCAGAATAGAGAGGTGTGTCCAGCCAGAGGGGGCACACAGCCTCCCAGGGGCTCCGGCAGCTAACCCAGGACAACGGGACTTTCTGTGGAGAAATTTCCAGAAGCCCGGAGACAGGAGGGGGATGTGGAATGTCTTCTCAGGAAGCAAGGCTGTTCTGGCCGTGGCAGGTGTGGGCACCTGACCAGAAGCGAGATGGCAATACGGAAGACTCAGCAGATGCCAACAGAGATCGAAGACGGTCACCCTTGTCCCCCTGCCCTGCTGGAGTGAGGAGGTATCACTGGGCAAAACAGACAACACTAAACGGACTGGCTTCTATTTTTTTTTCTCTTACGGGTCTTATTTATTCTTAAGAGAGAGACACAAGAGCAGGAGCAGGTGAGCGGCAGAGCGAGAGAGGGACACAGAATCCGAAGCAGGCTCCAGGCTCTGAGCTGTCAGCACGAGCCCGACGCGGGGCTCGAACTCACAAACCTCGAGATCTTGACCCGAGCCGAGGTCGGACACCTAACCGACTGAGCCACCCAGGCGCCCCTAAACTGACTGGCTTCTAACTCGCGGCTTGAAGTAGATTGAACTGCGTAGCAAAGCAAAGAAACTTATACCTGTTTGCACTCTGGCTCCATCAACATTTACGGAGTTTACTAAATGGGAGGAAACCATGCCCGGCTCTTTTATTTTCTCACCAGGTCCTGGCAAAGGACTCTGTGAGATGGGTCCTGGCTTCACTTTTCAGAGAAAGGAAAGGAGGCCCAGAGATGTTAAGTAACTTGTCTCTAGGGGCTCAGCCTCGAAGAGGCACAGCAGGGATCAGACCCAGGACCGCCTGATTCCAGAGAACCTGCTCTTGGAACGTGCTCCACAGTGCCTCCCAGGGGGTCTGCTGTCCACACTGGGACTCCCTTCCGGCAGGAGGGGCTAGGCTACACTGCAGGAACGAACGACTGAAAACCTGAGTGCCTAAACACAACAGAAGCATAGTTTCCCTCACGCTGCGTGGCCCCTGGAGGTCAGCGGGAAGGTTATCCTTCGGGATAGGTTATCCAGCGGGAAGGAGTCCATCAGACTCCTCATTTGTGCATCTGGGCCGTTGAGGCCTCCTGTCTGGAGGGTTACCAGTTACTGGGGCAGGAGAAGGAGGCAAAAGGTGAATTGCCCAACGACTCTGAAAAATTTCTGCCCAGAGCATCACATGTGTCATAACATATGACACATCACTTCTTCTCACATCCCACTGGACAAGGCAAGTCCATGGCTGCATTGGCAGGAGGTGAGAGGTAGAGGTCTGCCACGTGTCCCGAGGTGGGAGAACCTGACTATGATAGTGACATGGCTGATCACCACCCCGTGCGACAGCTCTGTTTATCATAAAATCATGTTGAACGACGGAGAGGAGAGATGGTTTGACGTGGCCTCTGATGAAACTCGCCTCCCCGGCAGTTCAACCAACGGACGACATCACAGACGATTGTGACTAATTTTAAACCCTTCTCGTACCACCCCCTTGAGAACTCACCCCCAAGTGACTTCTCACAAAGTGTCAGAGCCACAGGGACGACGAAGCTTTGATGACACTGTAGAGAAGGCTGAGGTTCTATGAGGAAAGAGGACGGTGAAGGTTTAGCATCCTCTCCCTTCTTATCCGCCCTGGAAGGGGCCCCTGACTCCTCCTCGGCCATCTGAAAATCAGACACATTTAATGCCACATTCTGGCCTCGAATGGAGAATACGTTTTCTGCTGATGTCCTAACTGTACCACCTGTCTCTTCCATCCCTTCCATACTCAGAGCTCATGGCCCAGGGAAGCTGCAGCCATAAAAGGACAGAGACAAGGAGCACTCCCCAGCGTGGCTTCAGACACCCATTGTCCTTCGTGGCCACGGGAGGACCGGCAGGTCAGCGAAGCTGGGACTGAGGCAGGAAGCAGGGCCTGAGTTCAGAGATTACAACTTCTCCTGAGAGTTTGGCTGCATCATTAACACCAAATGATAATTAATCCTCCAAAAAATCCTCAGATGTTAATCCCCTAGGAAGTCTTAATTAACTCTTATAAGGATTAGTTCTGAAACTTGGGAGGAAAGAGCAGACACATCCAAGTAATGCTAAATTGTGAATACCATCATCTTTCATGCAAAGAAAGGGCTCACCGCCGCCCTTTATCATCCAACCACCCATCCATCCATCCATCCATCCATCCATCCATCTATCCATCCATCTATCCATCTATTCATCCATCCAACCAACCACCCATTTATCCATCCATCCAACCAACCACCTATTCATCCATCCAACCATCCATCTGTCCATCCATCCATCCATCCATCTGTCCATCCATCCGTCCATCCATCCGTCCATCCATCCAACCATCCATCGGTCCATCCATCCATCCATCCATCCATTCATCCATCTATCCATCCATCTATCCATCTATTCATCCATCCAACCAACCACCCATTTATCCATTCATCCAACCATCTGTCCATCCATTCATCCATCCAACCATCCATCTGTCCATCCATCCACCCATCCATTCATCCATCCAACCATCCATCTGTCCATCCATCCATCCATCCATCCATCCACCTGTCCGTCCATCCATCCACTCATCTATTCACCTACTCATTCAGCAATACTTACATGTAGACATGGCTCCCGCCTCACGGAAGTTATACTCTAATGGAGATCGGGGAAGGAGGGCCGTCCATCATGGAATCACACCAGTATGTCGCTACAGCCCGACACATAAAAGGAAGGTACACGTGGATGTGAGAACAATTAGAAGGAAACCTGGTCTGGTGTGGAAGACAAGACTAGTGATCACCTGTGTCTAGTCCTCTCCTGCCTGGGCATTTTGGAGTCACGTGACTTGTTCTGACCAATGAAACGCAAGCATACACGATGCCCCACCCCATACGGTTCTCCATGGTTCTCCAGCCCTCACTCCCCCCTTGAGGCAGACGTGTGGAGAAGGTGCGATCACAAGCAGGGAATAACCTGGAGTTGCGGCACAGGGTTCTGCGGGGTTGCCTGGATCTGCGGGGGACTCTTGGCATGACTGAGAAACGAACCTTAGCTGTGATGTCCTGCTGAGATTCGAGGTTGGTTGTTCCTGCAGCATAGCCCGGCCTCGCCTAACACCCTAGGGCAGGGCAGGGAAGAGGGCGGAGGAAACTTCTCCGGAAGTGGTGGTTCCGTTGGAATCCCCAGGATGAACAGGAGATGACTCTACGAGAGAAGGTGGGTCTGCTGCGTGGGGTCACCCACAGCCACTTCCCTGGCCTCCTATGACCCAGGTCAGGTCTCTGCACCGGCTGGTGCCTGGTGAGAGAGCACAGCCCAGAGAGAAAGACCCTGCAGCCCTGGTCCCAAAGCCTGCAAAATAAGCCATAGACAGAGCACACTCCCAGGGGGAGGCACTTATGTTCCAATGAAACCAAAGCTAAGACATCAAAAACCAAAGCTTTCAGGGAAAAAAGAGGGTGGTATGATGGCTGTCGTGGTTGAGAATATGGTCTAGAACTGCACCGCCTGGGTTCAAATCCTGGTCTCTCCCAGCCTATCTGTGCGACCCTGGACAGGGTCCTCAACCTCTGTGTCCTCAGTGTCCTCATCTGTAAGATGGGAATGATCAGAGTACCTACCAGCTAGAGTTTTTCTGGGGGTTATTTGAGTTAGAAAGGACACTTAGCGGGGTGCCTTGTACACAGCAAGTGCTAGGTGAGAATTTGATAGAAAAATAAAATAGTAGAGAGACAACAGACGACCAGCCAGCCGGGGCTCCGTCCGATGGTCCTTTCTCCAGTCTGGGGAAACAGTGTGCCAGAAAGGAGCAGCCTGGTGACTCTGCCAGCTGCCCTGTCACCCAGTGAGGTCCCGAAAGCTGATTCAGCTTAGGCGAGTGTTTCTTCTCTTGCCGAAAACTGAGAAGACAGGAGGGGAGCACGTCCATCTATAGACAAAACGCCTTTATCACAGGTTAACATATTAAAACAGACCTTAAGTTTCAGCTTGCAGAAGCTCCTCTTTTAAAGTTGTAATTCTTTCACGGGTGTTCCCAGTGGGCATCCTTCTTTTGCTCGCATACCTCCGGTGACAGGGAACTCACTACCTTACAGGTCAGCCCATCCTTCACTGGAGCGCGCGTTTTGCCCCCTAGCTTCTCACACTGGGCTTAACTCTCTACCTCCCTGAGTCCCCATAGCTGGAGTGCATTCTCTCATCTACACCCCACTAGCAAGGGGAACGTGCTCAGAGAAGTAGCCAGCGGCCAGAGCGGGTAGGACAGGGACCCGGATGCTAGTCTCCTGTCGTGGGAAGCATGGGGCTGTTGAAAGAAGACAGTGACCTCGTCAGCTGCCTACTTGAAAAGGATCTCTTTTGCTGGCTGTGTGGACGGTGGACGGCAGGGGGTCGAGGGTGAAGGCAGGGGGCCAGGTGCTCAATTACTGCTCATTAATTAATATTGAACACCTCAGAAAGACTCGCCTGCAGCAATGGCCAGTGATAAAAAGGCACTTCTTCATGGGGCTTCCTGAGCCGCCGGGCTTCCTTCCCTCAAAGCCCTCATCACGCTGCGCTATAATTATCTGCTTACTGGTCTGTCCTCCAGATGCGGTTCATCCTCGTAGCTCACCGCCCCCCTCCCCCGACTCCTGTGCCCAGGATAGTGCCTGACACGTGGCAGTTTCTGGAACAACTTCGCAGACGGTGGTGGGGCCATGGTGGTTGGTGATTCCTGGGTCACCTGAATCAGCCTGATTCCAGGACCCTAAGAGCGGCACCCTATTAGAGTTGGAAGGATATCAGCCAACATGCAACCTTTCCCAGCTGTGGGGAACATGCAGGCAGCTCAGAAAGTGCCAGAGGACTGACGGGGATCGTATGATTTATGGTCTAGTTGGGGCACTTTTATTGGGCCCAAAGGCGGAACCAACCAGGACACCACCAGGACAGCAGGTGTAGACTGAGCAGATCGGGATGATGATCGCCCATTACTTTCTGCTATTTTTCTAACGTTTATTTCTTTATTTTGAGAGAGAGAGCACGAGCGCGCGCACGCGTGCGTGCAGAGAAGGGTCGGAGAGAATCCCAAGCAGGCTCCATGCTGTCAGCACAGAGCCCGATGCAAGGCTGGAACCCACGAACCGTGAGATCACGACCTGAGCCAAAATCAAGAGTCAGACGCTTAACCGACGGAGCCACCCAGGTGCCCCCAGAAGCTCAAAATCTTACCTCTTCTCTGTCTCTGACTCATCTCTCTTCCCAGGTCTGTTCACTCGCTTCTTGATTTTCCCCAGATGCCTCCTCCTTCCTTTTTCTCCCAATGGCGTCATTGGACAACTGAGCACATAGTTAACAAAACAGTTGCGTTCCCAGCTAGAAGGGTTCCTCTGGTGACTTGGCTGGGCCACAGGGCACCCAGATATTTGGTCACACAGTCTCCCAGGGGCATCTGTGAGGATGTTTGGGGACGAGACAGACATTCGAACGGATAGACCGAGTCAAACAGACTGCCCTCTCCAGTCATCCCAATCCACTGATGACCCAAACACAGCACAAGGCCTGACCCTCCTGTGAGTAAGGGGATGCCTTCAAGCTGGGGCATCGGATTTTTCTAGCCTTTGGACTTGAATGGAAACATCAGGAAGGCCTGGGTCTCCAGCCTACTGGTTTTGACTGGAACTTATACCATTGGGTCTTCTGGCTCTCCAGCTTACCGTATGCAGGTCTTGGGACTTGTCATCTGCCATAATTATATCATTCAATGTTTCATGATAAGTCTGTCTCTCTCTATAGAAATTTATCTATATCTATACCTATATCTATACCTATACCTATATCTATATCCTATCGATTCTGTTTCTCTAGAAAACTCTAAGACAGCAGCTATGTCCCAGTACCTAGCACAATGCGTGTGCCAATGCTCGTTGAATGTGGGACCACAATGAGACGCTGTTGAGGTCTTGAGCCTTGTAAAGATAACAGAGTCCCCAACTCCAAAATATAGGGGCGCCTGGGTGGCTCAGTCAGTTAAGCGTCCACCTTTGGCTCAGGTCATGATCTCACAGTTCGTGAGTTCGCGCCCTGCATCAGGGATGTGGGATTCTCTCTTGGGATTCTCTCTCTCCATCTCTCTCTCTCTCTCTCTCTCTCTCTCTCTGCTCCTTGCTCACTTGTGCTTTCTCTCTCTCAAAATAAATTAAAAACTTAAAATTTTTCAAAGTATAAAATAATAGTGGACACAAGACACAAAATATATACATATGCTAAAGAAGTTTTTTTAAAGCCTATTCTAAGATTTTCAGATTATAAGATTCAGGAAAAAAAATCTATTAAAGCTGAACCTTGGGTGGGGGTCCCCTCCTTTGCTGATGCCCTGAGCACACACTTAGCTCCAGCTAGGTGATCCCACCTGGCTGAATGAATGAGTGTAAGAAGGAATGAATGAATGAACATACACGTGTCTTGGGTAATGAAGAGAAACTGACTTGTAAATGGCACTTTACTATTCTCCCTTCTTAATGTGAGCTGGAGGTATTTCCAGCAGGGCACGTTTTTGTTTTTGTTTTGTTTTTGTTTTTGTTTTTGTTTTTCTTTTTGGTGGTGCTGGTTACTGGAAACTTGCCCTGTAATTCCTGTGATGCCGCAGTTTAAACTAATCAGCTTCTGGATAGGATTCCTTCCCAGCTCACCACCTGACCCCGAAACCCGGGCTTGCGGCTGGACCCCTCTGCGGGGTTCAGTGCAGAAGCCCCCCCCCCCCCCCGCAGTGGCCTCCCCACCCTGGGGAGGACCGGTGCCCCGTGACACTTGGACACGGCACCGAGCTGCCTCCGCCCTGCCCCAAATCAGGCCTTGGTTCCTTGTTCCGCGTTCCCTCCGAAGTTCGAACACCCGCAGGGGAGCCAGAGAGGGAGCCGAGGTCTCCAGGCAGGGAGCCTCAGCAGGGCACCTGCTCAGTACCAGCTACCATCTGTCCTCCAGGGAGCCCAGGCTGATGTTGGCACTTAGATTCGTTTCTGCCCTTTGGAGGTAATTCATCATCCTACGACAGCCATTCTTGGCTGTTTAAAAAAAAAAAAAAAAAATGGAAAGACCAAAACCTAGCCCGAATCTCTGCCTTTTGAGTCAGCCCAGAGAGAGGCAAAGAGGAACCTCTTCCCGGTCAGGCTGCTGTACAACGCCCACGGGCCGCGAAATGGGTGAGGTTTTCCCAGGCGATTTTTATTTTTGTGGTTTGGTCCTTTCATAGGCTGTTTTGAGCACTTTCTGGGCCTCAGGCACTCCTTGGAGACCTTGAACTTCATCCCCTCTGTGAGGCAGGGGACACAGGGCAGGGTTAGAAGCTGCCCTGACTCAGATCCCAGCACTTAGTCATCGTGTCACCTTAGTAACCTCGTCGTGGAAGTTAGTAACCTTAACTACCCTAAGCCTCCATTTCTCCTTCCGTGAAAGGGGTATGGCAATAATAGTCCCCTACTCCCTGGGGCTGCTGTCAGAACTAAATCACTTCATTCCAGCCAAGCGATTAAATTCAGGCCTGGCTCTCAGGAAGAACCCAGCATGCCCCAGCTCCTATCGTCCCGTTTTACATGTAAGCAAGTGGAGGAAGCCCAGGGAGGGCAGGCCAGTTTCCCAGGGTCACCAAGCTGCACAGTGAAAGGATCCAGCCTCAACCACCAGGCTCGTCGGATTTCTGACGCCCAGCTCACAACTGCCGCTGCTCCCTGGCTGAAAAAATACAGAGGGAGCCTTGCCTTAGGTAATTCAAGGCCTGCTTGATCAAAAGGGAATAACAGATCTAACATGTCACAGCATTAGACTTGTCTGACAGGACACTTTCTACGTGGCTGTTTGCCAGAAACTAATACCCTTCTGTGAATTTACCTCTTGGTTTTAAAACGTCTTTCTCCAGGTGTTTCTGCTTGGTTTTGTTTTTGTTTTTGTTTTTGTTTTTGTTTTTGTTTGCTTTTTGTTCTGTGTGGGGCTCAAACCTCCTGTTTCCACTTGTCCCTTTTCAATATAAAGTTAGGCACCGGGTCTGTCCGAGTCTCCCGTCACCTGACACTACGTGCAGGTGGGGCTGGGGGACACCTGGTCACGGGCCTTTGTTTACGCGTGGGGAAACTGAGGCCTGGAGCAGGCAAGGGACGTGTGTCTGGTCCCCCAGCCTCCTGACAGGCTGGAACCCAGGGTGGGGGGCCTGAGTCCCCGGGGGCTCTCGGTGCTGAGACGCTGATCCACTTTTGACACCTAATTTCATCCACAGGGTCCCGTCCGTTGTGGCGGCTGCCACGGAGCCCGGGGCCCACCCGACATGGCGGAGGGATGGCCGGGTTTGTCCTTCAGTGGGTTGTTGCTGGAATACTGCAGCGTGGCCAGCAACTTCCCCTGCCCGGGACTGGGCGGAAGGCCCTCGAAATAGGGAGAGCCAGAGCCTCAAAGACGAGTTCAGTCTGGCCTTGGTCTTGGGGAATGGCGTGAGCGGATCCTGAGACGCTGTCTGTTCCTTGCTGGAACATTCCTTGCTCCACACAGGCAGCCTCGATTTCAGGACGTCATATTGGGCCCCTGGCGTCTGGGCCACGTCCCACAGAGGCTGAGAGGGTGTCTCCTGTAGGTCACCCAGCCAGCTTGGCTCCCCTCTGCCTGCCTCTGCTCACTTCCGCTTGCCTCCACTCCCCTCTGCCCACCCCTGCTACCTCTGCTCATCTCTGCCCGCCTCCTCTGGCTGCACCGATCCAGCCGAAGCAGCTCTTGTTTCCATGGAGAGAAACCTGGGTCCCCAAGGAGGCTCCAGAAGATGTTGGCAGTAGCTTCTGGCTGGACACACTGGGACTGGCAGTGAAATCAGGTGCGGTGGAGGGTGGGGGCCCTGAGGAGGAGCAGGGCTCTGTGCAGAGCGCCTCTGGCATCCCCTGGTGACTTTGTGAGCGAGCGGGCCATGGAGAGGGGGAGGCGGCCCGGGCGCCCCGGGGCCCGAACTCAAGCTGAGCCAGGCGTTCATTAGATTTTTCTGCTTCCCGGCCCGGTCACGCCAAAGAATGACTCTGGAGAGCATTCACGACGGGCACGCTCCCTCTATGTGTTAACTCGATGCATCCTCATAACTGCCCTCGGGGATAAGAGCTACGAAGGCCATGTCGCGGACAAGAACACCGAGGTCCAGAGAGGTGGCCCCAAATGATGTAACTCCTGGACTCGCAGCCTATGCTCCCCATCCGTGAAAGCTCACACAGAGGCGTGCCTGGGCACGGGGTCCAGAGCTTTCTGACGCCCAGATCAGCTGCAGAGGGGGAAGCCAGCCATCTTCCGCAGGCACAGGCTACAAACGGGAGTTGGAGGAGATGGTGAGGTTTGCCCATGGCCGTTCTCTGGATCCAGGACAGAAGGCATGGACCAAGCCTAAACCCAGTAGTAGGGGCACCTGGGTGGCTCAGTCGGTTAAGCATCTGATTTCGGCTCAGGTCACGATCTCGCGGTTTGTGAGTTCAAGCCCCGCATCGGGGCTAACAGCTCAGAGCCTGGAGCCTGCTCTGGATTCAGTCTCTCCTCTCTCTCTCTCTCTCTCTCTGACCCTTCCCTGCTCATGCTCTGTCTCTCTCTCTCAAAAAGAAATAAACATTAAAAATTTTTTTTTAACTTAGAAGTAAATGAGGGGCACTGGCTCACCCTGCCTCCTTTTTCCAGCCACGGTCTCTTCCTGCCCCTTCATATTCCCCGGGGCGCTGGAGCAGTCGGCCGCAGGGTGTCCCCGCCCCCGCCCGGGGTTCTGGGCTCTTACACCTGACCCCTCAACTCTACCTCTTTTTAGCTCTGTGACCTCAGGCACATTCTTGCACTTCTCTTGGCCCCGGTTTCCTTGCGCACAATGAATACTATTAGTAACGGTGTGTGCTTCGTGGAGGCATTTTGAGGATGACCAGGGGGCATAACAACCAAAGTGCTCCGAAGGCTCCCGGATCCACAGCGCGCCTCACTGAAGGTTGGGTCACTGTTAGTAACCAGGAGGTCTGGGCTCTTGTTGCTATCCTCCTTGACATCCCCACCCCACACCCTCCCCGGCCGAGACGATCCGAAACACTAAGATGTTTATGACATGAGATAGTCCTTCCTCTAGGCTCGTTTGCACAGAAAAGCGTATCAAGGAAGGAGGGCACTTCTTAACGCCAAGGAGCAACTTGCTCATGGCGTCGAAAGCCAAGAATGTTGAGGGATTATTCTGGGCGTGTGCGTGTGCGGGCGGGGAAAGACAAATGTCCATTCCCTTGCAGTTCCAGAACTATACCTCTTCGCATTAAACGCAAAGCTGGCTCCTTCCAGAATGGTCACAGGCGCCAGGACGTTCTCTGCAAAGGGCCAAGCTGGACTCTTCAGGAGAGCACGCAATCCATCCAAGAGCCCAAACGCTGAGATCAGAGCGGAATCCTGTAGGACTGCGCTGCTAGGGGAAGGAAGGAGGGGGGGTGGGCCCCTTTACTCCGCTCTACTTAGAATCAGACTGCTTCCTTTGGCTTTCCGTTAACCTGGCCACTCCCAGCCTCCTCCTCCTTAAAGGGGCAACTCGGGTGTCCGTGAGCTGGGTAAAAAGACGGGATCCCTGGGGTGCCTGGGTGGCTCAGTCAGTTGAGCGTACAACTCTTGATTTCGCCTCAGGTCATGATCTCAAGGTTCGTGAGATCAAGTCCAGCTTCGGGCTCTGCGCCGACAGCATGAAGCCCGCTTGAGATTCTCTCTCTCTCTCTCTCTGCCCCTCCACCACTCACGGGCATGCTCTCTCTGAAAATAAACTAAAAAAAAGAAAGAAAAGAAAAAGAAAGACAGGATCCCTCCTACCTGTGGCATCAGAATCTAGATTTTAACCAGATTCCCGGTGATTCTTATGCACATTACAGTCTGAGAAGTCCTGTTTAGAATGCTGAGCCAGGGGCACTTTTAAGAGGAGTCAGTGAGTCAGGTCTCAGGTCCCCATAGTTTGGTGTAGGCGGCGGTTATGGTTTAAGGAGTCAGTGGAAGTAAACCAGGAACGCTCCAGGGTCTGGTTCTGGGATGAAGTGCACGTGATGGATAAAAGAGAGGGTCCAGGAGGCTGTGACACCCCATTGACGTGAGCATGGGGGTCTCCCCGAGGTTCCCAGCAGCCTCACTGCCCCGCTGGAGTCGTCCTCCTCTTGCAATCCCCTTTATTTTTTTTTAACTTTTTTTTTAACGTTTATTTTATTTTTGAGACAGAGAGAGACAGAACATGAACGGGGGAGGGGCAGAGAGAGAGGGAGACAGAATCGGAAGCAGGCTCCAGGCTCTGAGCCATCAGCCCAGAGCCCGACGCGGGGCTCGAACTCACGGACCGCGAGATCGTGACCCGGGCTGAAGTCGGTCGCTTAACCGACTGAGCCACCCAGGCGCCCCTTGCAATCCCCTTTAAACTTCACTCAGCACAGAGCGCCCCCTTCCAGCGACAAGGCGACAAGGCGGGGTGGCCTTGCAAAAGGCTCCGCAGTGAACCCCCCTCCCCCCCTCCCCCTCCCCCCCGCTGGTCCTGGGCAGAGGAGGGAGCCCTCGCTGCACAGACGAAAGCACCCAGGCAGAGCCCGCCCCAGGAAACTTACCTGCCCCCCCGGGCTGCAGGGGACAGAAAGTGCAAGGCTGGCTGGGCTGCCTTCACTGGGCCAGGCCTGTCTCCCGTCTCTGAGCCAGTTTCCACACCAGAGCTCTCGCGCAGGATTCTCGTGAAGGTCACATGAGAAACCTGGCAGGAGCTCTGACCACTGGAAAAGCACCGCCGCTCTCGCCCGCCAGTTGCACTTGTAGGAATCGGCCCTCGTGGTCAAGAGTGACCGGTCACTGGAGCTGCCCGAAGGCCCGCAGGCAGGGGGATCCAGGCCCTGAAGTAGGGGTCTCCAGGATGCGTGGGGAAGGGTGCCTCCGATCTGCTCCCGCCCCACGGGAGGAGAGCCCGGGGAGAGCAAACACATCGCAGAGCTCAGAAACAGTTTCGTTTCACTGTTAAACAACCGGGGATTCCTTTCAAGGGTCTGGAAGGACATACCCACAGCCAGTTAACCACGGCAGAGGGGTTAGAGCTGTGTTTCTCAATTTTTTTTTTTTTTTTTATGATTTATTTGTTTTCTTTTAGAGGGAGAGTGTGAACAGGGAAGAGGGGCAGAGGGAGAGAGAATCCCACCGTGGGATTGTGACCTGAGCTGAAATCGAGTCAGAAGCTCAACCCACTGAGCCACCCAGGCGCCCCTTTCTTTCTTTTTTTTTTTTTTTTTATCGCCGCCATGTCCCACCCAGGAAATGCTTGTAGAGATATACTGTACATCTGTTTATAGACTGTATGTGTATCTGTGCTTTAAACAAAAAAAAAATTGGATTTTCTAGGACCCCCAAGAATCAATCGTGCCCCCTGGGGGGGGGGTGATATTACCCCTGTTGAGAATGTATGGGTAAAAGAGGCCAGAAGTGAGGCTTTTCCCTTATTACCATTATTTGCTTTTTTTTTTCTTTTTTAGCACTTTTGGGGTTTTTATTTGTATTATTTTTATTTTTTCAAGATTTTACTTATTTTTAAGGAATCTCTATACCCATCCTGGGGGCTCAAACCCACAACCCCAAGATCAAGAATCACAGTCTCCACCCACTGAGGGAGCCAGCCAGCCTCCCCCCCTCAACTATTTACTTTTTGATTAAGTTCTATTTATTTATTTATTTTTTAAAAAGTGCTGGCAGATATTTACATAGCACTTGGTGCACGCCGTGCATTACTCTAAGAGCTTTACATTTTGAATCATTTAATCCCCATAATTGCCTAGGAAATGAATGCTGTATTCTCCCCATTTTACAGATGAGGAAACTGAGGTTCAGAGGCAGTAGCCAGCTTGCCCAAAGTCACGGCTCGTAAGTGATGGAGTCAGGAGCCAGACCACGGCAGCCTGGGGCCAAAGCTGGTGTTCTTGAGGAGACAGAACCGCGTATCGCATTTGCACTGAAAGAAAAGGATCAAAAAGAAAATGCAGAATGGGGATAGGTTTTTGTCTGTAAGCGGGTTAACATAGATGAAGGGACTTCTAGAACTTGAAGTGGTTTGGACGCATAGGATTATGTGCGTTGTGATGATTAGTCTGTGGATACTATGACACTAATAAAACCCCAAGCCGAGCTTGGGGATTTAATCTCAAGTCCGGGCTGGGGGGGGGGGGGGGGGGGGGGGGGGGCGGGGGGGGGGCATTGAACCTCCAAAAAAGCCAGAGGCAGAATGAGAGCGCTCCTTTAATGGAGATGAGGCAGGGCACCAGCGGTTGTGAGGAGGGACCTGGGGACAAAATATTTAGGGAGTTGCACCGTCATTCAGACGGCAGCCCCTGCTCCTGGAGCAGAGCCCGGCTCACCCCTGCCTCCGCTCAGTGGTACCCTCCTCCCCCCTCCGTTGTCTCTGAACCTTTGGGATCCACAGGACACAATTCAGAAACCACTCGTCTAGTCCACAACCCTCATTTTGAGGACACCGGGGCTCAGAGAGGGGATACCTTTTGTGTAAGGTCGCGCAGCCCATTGGCAACAAGTTTGGAACTCGAGCCCTGCCTCCTGGCTCTGTGGTCGCCAAGTCAGGTGCCCTCAGGATACAACTCTCCTAGGCTTTGAAAAGATGAGTTCGTTTCCTTCCCCTGGGCCACTTTGGTAGAATGGCTTATCCTTCCAAATTACATCAAAAGTATCTGCTCACTCCGGGGCCTCTGACCACATCACCTCGGATTTTTTAGAGGTTTTTGTCTGAATCGGTCTGACCTCCTTAGAACCCAATTGAAACATTTCTCAGGGTCAAATTCACTCGCGTTTCTCTTTCACTGAGCTCTTTTAGAATAGCCTAGCACAAAAATGAAAATGCAAACCTGGATAGAATTTCCAGGCATCCGTAATGCAGACAGCTTGGCATCTTTGAAGTCGACACTTCTAGAGATGGATTGACCCCAGCTGTCCGGTCTCTGAGGTGACCCTCAGCTGGATACATTTGCCACTCCAGCCCTGAAGCGATCTGCCCGCCATGAGACTCGTAGATGGCAGAGAACGTCTAGCGTGGGGGGCAGTTCCTTCTCTCTCCACTCCTGGACCTGGACCCTTAGTTGGCTAAGGTGCCCTCCCACAGATCCATGACCGAACCTCAGAATCTTTCTTAACACGGTGGTCTAAGCAACCCTTCCAATCTATCAGTGCTGGTCCTCAAAATGAAGTGCACTGAGAGAGAGAGAGAGAGTGAGAGAGAACAAAGGGGAGGGGCAGAGAGAGAGAGGGAGGGAGAGAATCTCAAGCAGCCTCCCGTGGTCAGCCCAGAGCCCGATGCAGGGGCAGAACTCACGAACCGTGAGATCATGACTTGCGCCGAAATCGGGAGTCAGATGCTTAACTGACTGGGCCACCCAGGTGCCCCGTGACTTGCTACTCTTAATCGTGCCCAACAGCCCCATTTTACAGATGAGGAAACAGAGTCCAGGGGAGCTCATTGCACCAAGCGACCGCTGGCTCTTAAGGACCCCCACAGATTCATCAAGGCCGGCCAAGGACCCGCCACAGTTTTGTCTTTATCTGTCATATTACTGACCTACATGTTGGCATAGGAGGTCACTCAGGCCCCATATTACCCACCTCTTGGCTCTACACCACTGATCCTGCCTCAGGCTCTGGGTGTTGGTGTTCGATTCTGCAGGTGACAGAGCCCAAACCATGATGCCTCAAGAACCTTTACTAGTCCTTAAGTAAGAGCCTTAGGCGGATGTCCCCCCATCAGGGGGCACTTTCCTCCCTGCTGGGATTCGGGGACCTCACCTGTTTTTGTTGTGTGCCTCTAGCAGCTCCTGGGCAGGGAACAGTCCTGCCACAATCAGTGTGCCACCAGAGGAAGGGGAGACAGAAGATGGGAGGGCAGGGGAACATGAGGCTCCCACACATCCCTGGCCCAAAACGGCACATATCATTTCTATGTTTTAAGGTTTGTTTATTTATCTGGGGAGAGGGAGCGCGCGTGAGAGAGAGCGGGGGAGGGGCAGAGAGAGGGAGAGAGAGAGAATCCCAGGCAGGCTCCAGGTTGTCAAAGCCCAATGCGGAGCTCCAACTCAGGAACTGTGAGATCATGACCTGAGCCGAAAACCAAAGAGATGGAGGCTCAAATGACTGAGCCACCCAGGTGCCCCAGCAGATATCAAATCTGCTGACTTCTGTTGGCTTGGGATTCGGTCCCGTGGCCAAACCTAAGTGTGTGTGT